GGTGGTTTGTGTGTATACTGACGTTGGGATTTTGACATGTAGGTATGTATGTGCATGTATGCAGTATGACATGTACATACATACATGTGGGGAGCGGTAGTGTAGCGGGTTAGCGCTACGCTGCGCTATGGACCCGGCGACCCGGGTAAGATTCCCGCTCATGGCCAACACCAAGTGACGATTCTCTGAACCGGTCGCGGGCCTCCCCTAGGTCGACTCAGCCTCAAATGAGTACCTGATGCGGTGTGTAAACATCGCCACTAGGGAGACAAAGGCGGCCGGGCGTGGTGCTGGCCACCCACCCCCTTCTGTGCCGTGCCGGCCTTCATAGGTGCTCGCTGACTGCACTTGCCCCAACAGTCTGTTAAAGCTATACAAGGGATGTTTGTCTTTGTAGAGTATTAGACATTGATGCATTAATTAACATCGATTGGTATCCTTCGAATAGCAGGACCCTCCTGCAAAGAGAGTCATGAGACTCGGTGAGGCTGTCCCGTATTAAACGAGCGTAGTCATAATCCAACATGAACTGAAAATATCTTTAACTCTGGAAATCCTGACAATTCATCGAATCGATGGAACGTGGTTGGAGATTCTATGGGGTTATGTGAATGCGTGTCCACATCGAGGTCACGATACAGAGTCAGGTGTCGTGAGTTGACCCATCACACCTGGCTCTGTTCCGTGGCCTCCCGAGCAGCGAGCGGGCCTCCCACGCTGCAGGTAAACGGCCTCAAAGTGCACCTAGCCTGGCACGGGCGCATTGGTGACGTCCCCGCCACTTAAGAGTGGCGGATGGCGGCAGTTGTTGTGATTGCTGTTCGCATACACACGGCAACACGGACTCGTTACAATTACGGTAAAGTGTGAATGTACGTCGCGTATAAAGTTGTGCGTACGACATTCTACCGCATCTAAGGGACTCATCACCTTGAACAGTGGGGCAGAGAGTGGTGGGGGTGGTTGGGGGTCAGTCAGAGGCTGCCTGAACTTTAACAGGGGCCACGGATTCGACAGCACGGATGTCCGCGTGAAGGGAGTTCTAGACAGTGAGAGCAGCGAACGATAATGAGCGACCTCCCACCGAGTGAGGGTTCACGGTGGGGGGGGAGCATCGATTGGTGGTACAAAGACTGCGTGGAGGGGCGAACAGGGGATGGATAGACAAGTAGAGTACAGTATATACAGTATATGTGTGTGTAACATTTGATTAATTATTATTTATATATCGCTCCTTTGCCAAGCCGCTGCTGGAGGATTCCTCCTCAGGTCGTGTCGGTCAAGTCTGGTCGTGTCAAGCATACGTCAACGCGGCGATGATGAATTATGGTGAGGTGAGGGTTCACAAACGGTCACCAAAAACATTCGTAGACGGAATCGGGGATTGACACCAATGGATTGGGCAGATAGCTGTAAATTAATAATATTGCTATTATTTTCATTATTACTACTCCTACATAACGTGATTCTATACGAGGATAGCAACTTTCTGATGTTATGTTTGGCCTGGATTGCCGATGTTACTGTCGTGTAAGTTGAACTTCTTTCGCACCGTACGTAAGCCAACCGTGGCTAAACGGAGGATGCGGGGGAAGGACGACAAACTAAACACACGTTCAGTTTTAACGAAATGAGTGTTCAATCAGGATGATTCAAAAGCGCACGGCTCCAGTGGTCTCCTAATATCGGAGGGAAGAGCGTTCCAGACGGGCCGCAGAAGTGCATCTGAAAATCTCTGCGACGCGGTGGCCGCCGCAGCCGCCTTTGATCGATGGCCATCCCGAAAACTAAATCCGCTGCCGCGTCGATGAGCAGAGTTCGCGTGATGGTTCACGGTGCGTACCCCGTATACTTGAATTGCCGTGTCGGTGCCCGGTGTCACTTGGGTGGTCTATGTCAGCCGCGTACAGCGGGTGACGTTTTGCTGTCAGCTTGCGACCCCCCCCCACCCCCACCCCCACCTCTTCACTCCCTTCGGCTCGTCCTCGCAAAAGCGAATTCGGCGTCTCAGTGTGTGGTTCTTAGCTGTTGAAATACAAACATTGTTTCGTCGACACAAACATGAACAAAAAAATACACGAACCGCATTGGTCATTAACCCTGCCCTTATTAAGGCGCTGTCAACACCCGGTCTCGAATTTGTTTGCATACGACACACACACACACGCGCGTAAAGATACACCGTGTAACCTCAATCATACACACACACAGACAAATAAAGAGGCCCCGTAGAGCGTTTAATAGACTGTTGGGGAACGTGCTGTTCGCGAGCACCTATGAAGGCCGGCACGGTACACAAAAAGGGTGGGTGGGGCCAAGATCACCCCCCGGCCGCCTTTGTCTCCCCAGTGGCGATGTTCACACACCGCACCAGGTAATCATTTGAGGCTGAGTCGACCTAGGAGAGGCCCAGGACCGGTTCAAATCTTCGTCCCTGTTCTTGATCGTGAGTGGGAATCGAACCCGCGTCGCCGGGTTTGTCACGCAGCGCGCTAACCGCTATTCTGCCGCTCCCCACTTAACATCTGTGTCATCGGATAATCGGATTCCTCCAGCCTAAATACGGATTCTGATTCTGAACATCCACACATCCACGCGTGCGGACATACATAGAGCACATCAATAGCAATGATACTCCCACGTGTTCCTACACAAATCATACAGTACGTACGTAATAAATATCAATCATGTGCATCCGTTTGTCAATCCACTGCTGGATGAAGGCGGGTCAGTACTTGGGGTTGTTTGACCAACCTTCACCACTCTGGTCAGTTCGAAAGGCGATCGGGGCGGGCGGGGAGGGGGGGGTCCCGAAGATCGGATCAGGTCGTGGGAATCGTTTGCCTGGGATTCGACCTCGTACATACATGGGCTACATTGATAATGGCAGGTGAGACAGAACACAACAACGGAGATCTGGGATACACGAGCAGAACTAGAATCATCACAGAACACATGTCAACGCTGAAAAGGGTAAAGGCGCGATCGTAACATTAAGGAACAAAAAAAATGTTCAAACGAATTTGCTGCATCCTGAATATATTTTTTATTCACGTTCGTGTCCGTGGTATGTGACGACAAATTACTTCCATAAATCGCCCGAATTCTAGAGTATGCGTTGCAAAATATCATCCGTGATTGATTGTGGCAAGGGGATGGGAGGAATCGAACATCGCCCGCCGAATCGAGATGGGAGCGAATAAACCGGTGAATGTGCGGATTCTTAGGTGGATTATCAACATTGGCAGGTTTCGGGGACGACTTCATCCAGCAGTGGATTGACCATGGCTGCTGCTGCTGCTGATGACGATTTGTATTATTCACGAGCAACGAACACTTGGGGACTCGCTCACTGAAGGGTGGTGGAAAGGTGATCAATACACATTGATCACTCCGTACATAATTATTTTAATTTAGAGATAACGACTCGTGTAAAAACAAATTCACTCCGTAAACACGGAAGAACCCCTCGTGATGTGTCAGCGAGTTGAATCGATGGGAGAAGCAGTGGCGGCTGAAAGCACGGCACGGATCTTTGATTTGAACACTCCGGGTGTTTTCATTTCAGTTCTGAACGATGTTCCGGTAATTATTTTGGCGTAATTAATGTTGAGTTATTCTTTGTGGTTATACACTTGTTCAAGGAATTATGAGATGTACAGGGTACAATGAAGCGGGATTATTGTGCATAGCCTAAGTAGCGTTCTGGAAAATATCCAGAGATAAATTAATCCCTATTAATCCTCTGTATCGCCAAGCCTGAATCCCATTACCCTGATCCGCGAGTATCTGTGAATAATGATACGAATGGGAATTGCTATCGATACAACGGCAGTACATAAAGAGTGGAGAGGGGGTTGACTGTACAGAGACAGGATGAGTGGACAATGTCAGGGGAGATCATTTGTGTGTGTTTGTTATTTTCGTTAAGGATCAAGTGTAGATATTCTATACGGTACACGTTTGCGATTGTGGACAATGTATATATATATTAATAGGATGATGATGATGGCAATAAAGATTGATCATGATTGATGTGGACGATAATGCTGACTGATAATTAATTCATGATTAAGGTGATTGATGGTGATGATCGGATGATGGCGGCGATAACGATGATGGTGATGGTGGTGACAATTACTGATTTTTGGTGAGTATGATGATGATGGTGGCGATGATAATTGATGGTCGGCGGGGAATGGATAACAAATGCTGTCTCAACATCCACCAGCAAATGTTCGCTTAAGACTCTGTTACTTTATATTTGATGTATGTTTGTATTTAAAATTTAACGCTGCTTGCTGGGTCAGATAATTACTTGTTTTAATTTTTTGCAATATTAAGTTCTTACTAACACAGAAGCATTTATGTGTCACACTCATACGAGCGCTTACAGATTAACTTGTGTATATTAATTCAGTTTACCGCACGTATATATACACGCAGACAAATACATACACATACATGATGTGGTGTATACAGCCATATAACACACGCGCGCATATTCACACACATACATACACACATACTCACACTTACACTCATGCATAGCTGTAACACGTTGGCTTTCGCGACCAATATTATCCATGAGATTTTTTTTTCGGGGTACTAGATCGCAAGGTGTGTTACGTAATCAAAACATGCAAATTCGTTAGTAGTACAGCACGCCGGTGTGCTGGAGAGTAAACCCACAACATGTCTCGTTCTTACATACATACAAAGACAAAGATCCCCCGTGTAGCCTTAACAGACTGTTGGGGAAAGTGCTGTTAGCGAGCACCTATGAAGGCCGGGGGGTGGGTGGCCAGCACCACGCCCGGTCGCCTCTGTCTCCCCAGTGGCGATGTTTACACACCGCACCAAGTACTCATTTGAGGCTGAGTCGATCTATGGGAGGCCCAGGACCGGTTCAGATCATCGTTAACGGTGATGGCCGCGAGCGGGAATCGAACTCGGGTCGCTGGGTTCGTGGTGCAGCGCGCTAACCGCTACACCACCGCTCCTCGCATCAAAACACCCATACACACTCACACATTTAAACTCGCACCAGCACGAAATCATCCACTCGTTGTGACGCTTAAACGCTAATTATCCTCCACTCACACACACGAAAACTGCACGGACAACGCATTTTAAAATGTATTTTTATGAACCAAAAACAACCACACGCACGCACACACGCACGCACATATGTCTCCATTGCAGAAAAAAAACAATTATAAATTATACACCCGTTTCGAGCAATAATCCAACCCTCACACATACACACGTGTTTATAGTTAACCCAGTTAGTCTGACACACTCGTCGATAATGATCATATGGTCCGGATGATGAGACACCCTCCAGAAAGTAAGACACATCCAAAACTTGTGAGAGGTGTCAATAAAGTTGAGTCGACCGAGGCCATTCCCATGACCGCACACGCGCGCGCGCACGCGCCTGCCGGATTATAAGTCGCATCCCCCAATGACAATTACTCTCAAATACAGAGGGAGGGAGAGGGGGGGGGGCGAGGGAAATGTGCGTCTTATAATTACGAATAATCCGTTAATTCATTTCGTCCGACGCAACGCGCGTGTTACAGCGCAAGCTCCAGTTAGTCCGCGCTCGCCTGTCGAGTCCTGGGGCTTTAGGGAGACCGGACCGCGCTGCTTGCTTACTCAACCACCGTGATTTTATGTCTAATTATACAAATAGTTCCACTGGCATCCATGCAGGGGAGGTTGGAGAGAAGGGGGGGGGTAGAGGTGGGGGTGGAAGAGGGGGGGGGGGACATAAGCCGCACGGCAGCCGCGCTTGTTAACGCGGCCCCACGCCTCGTCCGGCGTTCGGCTGATGTCCTCTTGCGATTGGCCACGGTGTCGATTTTAATTGCTTTGCTAAGTGGCTAGTCATCATCTGACGGGGGGTAGGGGGTGGTGATGTAGGGTGGGGGGGGTTGATGAAGGGAGTGGGTGGGAGTGGTGGGGGCTGTTCGCTGTGGGGGGGGGGGGGGTTAGCAGAGGCGGTCACCGGTATGCAAATGAGGTCCATCAGAGAGGAGCTTGATTGTTTAATTTACACCACGACCCGGCACGGATACACACACCACACGCACATTCGCGCGGGGAAGCGACACGAGATTCCGCACACAGCGTCGAGTTATTTACAATCCTCGTAGCCTGGGGTATTTGTATACAACTCGGGGCTACCCACACACAGTACACGTAACGGTTATTTTTTTGTATTGTCGCTGTACGTGTGTACGTGTCTATATATATAAGTATAGTTATGCGTTAATGATCATAAGTTATTAATTTACTGAACGACCACGCATTTAGGAGGAGCGGTAGGGAGGCATCACTATAGTGTCCCTATGTTCACACGGACCCTTTCACCTCCTCGACTGTCAAACATCCACACGCACGTGCGCGCAGCAGCAGCAGCAGCGACTAACACCGCACGCCGAGAGCCTCGAACACCTTCGATTAGCACGGTTGGCTACGTACGGTGCGAAAGAAGTTCAACATACATACGTACAACCGAAATTTTTTTTTAAAAATTACAGCGAAAAAAATCTTGAACCCCGTGACACACAAAAAGCCTTTTTGTTGTGCGCGGCGCTTGATCGATCGATCGAGTCACAAACATTAAAATCGTTAATCCCGACTCGTGGCATGCACCCGACTCAAAACGCGACCGACTCTCTCTCTCGAACGCGTCCGCCAATGTACAAGAAACGAGTCAACAGCCGTGCCGCTGTTTGTCGTCTTCGTCGTCGTTGTTGTTGTAAGGCGGCGGACGGTGCTATGAGTTTGACGTCGTCTCGGGGGGGAAGCGGAGAGGAAGAAACGGAGCTCGGGCGAGATCGTCTCTCTGGGAAGTCGAGGGACGGGCGGGGAGGGCAAGGGTCCTTGGAGGGCGTGGGGGGGTGGGGAGAGGTCGCGCAGGGACAGCCAAGGCTGCTATCTCGTGAGCGGCACCTCCTCTCGCTGGTCCAGAGTGAGTGCCGCGGGCTTGCTCAGCACGGACGCCGCGTACGGCAGGAAGCTGCTGTCGGAGCGCGTGGTGCACAGAAAATCTGGTCCCGCTCCACCCCCCCCCTCCTCCTCCCGCCGCACCCCCTCCTCCCCCCGCACCCCCTCCGCCACCCGCCGCTCCACCCCCTCTCTGCGCCGCCGCCGCCGCCGCTGCCGCCGCCGCCGCCGCCGCGGCCGCCGCAACGGCCGCGGCCCCGGCCCCGCCCGCCTGTCCGCTGGCCGCAGCGTGGCAACTCAGGCAGGAGCAGTGGGCGCCGCCCGCCTGCTGCTGCTGCTGCTGCTGAAGTCCGTGATGAGCCGCCGTGTAGAGCGCCGCGGCGGGAGATCGGAATCCGCACAGCAGCTCCGGTCGCGAGTAAGGGTGCGCGTGGTGCAGGGCAGCGCGGAACGAGTCGAGGGGTCGCAGGGCGGCCGCCGGGAAGGGGCTGGCGGCCGCCGCCCCGGGCCCCATGCCCACGGGGGGGTAGTAGGGCAGGGGCACGTGCGGGGGGAAGGGGTAAGGAAGCCCTCCCGTGGCGGCCGCGGCCGCGGCGTGCGTCATCATGTAGGTGTAGAAGCTCGGGTCGGCCGGGTGAGGCCACGACATGGCCAGCCGCTGCCGCTTGTCCTTCATGCGCCGGTTCTGGAACCAGACCTGTTGCAGGAGAGAGAGAGAGAGAGCGGTTAGCAGCGCTGTGCTGTGGAACCCAGCGAACTGAGTTCGATTCCCATTCACGGCCAACGCAACTGTCGATTATCTGAACCACTACTGGGGCCTACAGTGAGGGAAAAAAGTATTTGATCCCCTGCTGATTTTGTATGTTTGCCCATTGACAAAGAAATGATAAGTCTATAATTTAATGGTAGGTTTATTTGAACAGTGAGAGACAGAATACCAACAACAAAATCCAGAAAAACGCATGTCAAAAATGGTATAAATTGATTTGCATTTTAATGGGGGAAATAAGTATTTGACCCCCTCTCAATCAGAAAGATTTCTGGCTCCCAGGTGTATTTTATACAGGTAACGAGCTGAGATTAGGAGCACACTTTTAAAGGGAGTGCTCCTAATCTCAGCTTGTTACCTGTATAAAAGACACCTGTCCACAGAAGCAATCAATCAATCAGATTCCAAACTCTCCACCATGGCCAAGACCAAAGAGCTCTCCAAGGATGTCAGGGACAAGATTGTAGACCTACACAAGGCTGGAATGGGCTACAAGACCATTGCCAAGCAGCTTGGTGCGAAGGTGACAACAGTTGGTGCGATTATTCGCAAATGGGAGAAACACAAAAGAACTGTCAATCTCCCTCGGCCTGGGGCTCCATGCAAGATCTCACCTCGTGGAGTTGCAATGATCATGAGAACGGTGAGGAATCAGCCCAGAACTGCACGGGAGGATCTTGTCAATTATCTCAAGGCAGCTGGGACCATAGTCACCAAGAAAACAATTGGTAACACACTATGCCGTGAAGGACTTAAATTCTGCAGCGCCCCCTGTTCAAGAAAGCACATATAAATGCCCGTCTGAAGTTTGCCAATGAACATCTGAATGATTCAGAGGACAACTGGGTGAAAGTGTTGTGGTCAAATGAGACCAAAACGGAGCTCTTTGGCATCAACTCAACTCGCCGTGTTTGGAGGAGGAGGAATGCTGCCTATGACCCCAAGAACACCATCCCCACCGTCAAACATGGAGGTGAAAACATTATGCTTTGGGGGTGTTTTTCTGCTAAGGGGACAGGACAACTTCACCGCATAAAAGGGACGATGGACGGGGCCATGTACCGTCAAATCTTGGGTGAGAACCTCCTTCCCTCAGTCAGGGCATTGAAAATGGGTCGTGGATGGGTATTCCAGCATGACAATGACCCAAAACACACGGCCAAGGCAACAAAGGAGTGGCTCAAGAAGAAGCACATTAAGGTCCTGGAGTGGCCTAGCCAGTTTCCAGACCTTAATCCCATAGAAAATCTGTGGAGGGAGCTGATGGTTCGAGTTGCCAAATGTCAGCCTCGAAACCTTAATGACTTGGAGAAGATCTGCAAAGAGGAGTGGGACAAAATCCCTCCTGAGATGTGTGCAAACCTGGTGGCCAACTACAAGAAACGTCTGACCTCTGTGATTGCCAACAAGGGTTTTGCCACCAAGTACTAAGTCATGTTTTGCAGAGGGGTCAAATACTTATTTCCCTCATTAAAATGCCAATCAATTTATAACATTTTTGACATGCGTTTTTCTGGATTTGTTGTTGTTGTTATTCTATCTCTCACTGTTCAAATAAACCTATCATTAAAATTATAGACTGATCATTTCTTTGTCAGTGGGCAAACGTACAAAATCAGCAGGGGATCAAATACTTTTTTCCCTTACTGTATCTTGAGGTCGGTTCTGCATTAAATGACCACCTTGGTGCGATGTGTAAACATTGCCACAAGGGAGACAAAGGTGGCCGGGCGTGGTTCGGGCCACCCACCACGTCGTGTGCCGTGCCAGCCTTTATAGGTGCTCGCTAACAACGATTACCCCAAAAGTCTATTAAAGCTTTGTCTTTTTCTCTTCTGCGTTTGGTTATTGAGCCAAGATCGGAATAGCAGATAGATGGGTTTTTTTAATTAAATACATCAACATTAATATGAAGCTGATATAAACATATTTCATTCAATCAACAGCAGAGTATAATAATGATGATTAGGATGGAAGAACACATATTTAATTCAGCTCGTGCCGTCAATCGTTGTTTCTAGCAAGCAACCACAATCAACCACTCACTCCATATACTTAGTTCTTTCGGTAGTCACGTTGAAGGGAAACAACAAAATAATAAAATATATAAAACAATCAAAATTCTCACGACGTTTCGAACAATATTCTTAGTTGTTGTTTCCCTTCAACGTGACTTTACCGAAAGAACTAAGAATATGAATTACTGCAGTCACGAAAGCTTTAAATCACTCACTCCATGTTTGCATGCTCTCCAGATCCGGTCACGCTTTGTCACCCCCCCACCCCTACTCTGTGTTGTGGAATGATAACTTTTGTTGCAATCATGATGATAATGATTAGGCGATTACGCCTGCTTATACATTGTTGGGAGACTTCCTGGAAACACCAGATGTTTGAAGATCGGGCTGCAAGGTGGCCAATCTATGGGTAGGTAGCAGCAGGGCCGTCCATAGTAGGGGAGGTTCGGTGCCCAGGGCAAACAAAATGTGCCCCCCCCCCCCAAAGCGAGGGGCCCGGAGCAGTCGTTCTGATTCGCCGTACCCTAGGGACGGCTCTGTGTAGCACGGTAAAGCGATGCACATTTGAGTCTATTTATGTGTAGGGAGATGTTTTAGTATGATCCCCCCCCACCCCACTTCGTGTTCGAGGTAGGTGTTCTCCGGGCTCTACAGCTTCCTCCTACGTGGAGCGAAACGCTCATGAATGGAATTGGCCCAACAATACACTTGCAGGTGCCTGCGTCAAGCGAGCCTTGAGCCACATTGATGCGACTTTCCTTTTGTCACAGAGAGTGAATTGCGTTCTGATAAAAAAATATATATTTATTTTTCGACCTCTTTTATATGAAAAAAAATACGAAAAAATTCCGATGTGGAAGATCGTGAAAGGCGATTGTGTTTCAACTGTTATTTCTACGTGCGTACGTCAACGTTTCGACCGACTGCCCTTATTCAGCCACATACCTGTCAAGGTCAGTTCATCTGCCACTGGACTAAAGTGCACGTCAATAACTGAGTATTCAGTCTGCAATCATGTGGTTCTATGAGCCTTAGCGAACTATAGGCTGACTGAAACTTACAACAATAAATAATCATCTTCTTGGCAGGCGCGTGCAAGCTGGCGTGATATTTTTGATAAGCACCGACTCTTTAGTAAGCACATTAAACTTATCGTCCAAACAATTGTCATCAGATTGTTGCGAATGTGTGGTAATGTCAGCTCACCCTGACTGGAAATATGCATTCATCCAAGGTAATGATTACGTAGCGTCTAATCTCAGTGTTCAATGGCGGCGGTGGTGGTGATCGTGGTGGTAGTGATCATGGTGGTAGTGATCGTGGTGGTAGTGAGCATGGTGGTGGTAGTGATCGTGGTGGTAGTGAGCATGGTGGTGGTGGTAGTGATCGTGGTGGTAGTGATCGTAGTGGTAGTGAGCATGGTGGTGGTGGTCGTGATCGTGGTGGTAGTGATCGTGGTGGTGGTAGTGAGCATGGTGGTAGTGAGCATGGTAGTGGTGGTAGTGATCGTGGTGGTAGTGATCGTGGTGGTAGTGAGCATGGTGCTGGTGGTAGTGATCGTGGTGGTAGTGAGCATGGTGGTGGTGGTAGTGATCGTGGTGGTAGTGATCGTGGTGGTAGTGATCGTGGTGGTAGTGAGCATGGTGGTGGTGGTAGTGATCGTGGTGGTAGTGATCGTGGTGGTAGTGATCGTGGTGGTAGTGAGCATGGTGGTGGTGGTAGTGAGCATGGTGGTGGTGGTAGTGATCATAGTGGTAGTGATCGTGGTGGTAACTCGCACTAATTTGTCCCGTGTTCATTACGAGGTCCGCGGAGTGCGAGGAGCTGTAACGATCCTTGGGGTCACGACCTCACTTCACAATGGGGGGTAGGGAGGGGGGTCCCGCTTCACACAGAAAAAGGCACCCGTTGCCAAAAGTAATAAATCCTTAATTTATTTCTTTTTATTCGAGCGTTTCCATCTGTAGATAATTTACTCCCAAACACATTGCGGGCTGCGCGAGACACCTAATTTTTTTTTCAATCTCTCTCTATTATTTTTATTTAATGAAAGATGAGCTTTAAATTGTGTCATTCCCCTGCCGCTGCTGCCTATGCGGGTCGTACTCCGTGCATGACCTCTGGAACGATGGCCGTGGCCCGGCTATATAAGGCGCGCAGCCACGATCACGCGCCGTGATGGATCTGCACCGCGCACGGAGGAGCTCAAACCAAACCGTCAGTCAATCACGAGCTGCACCCGGCGGGCCACGGGGAGGATTATTTATCAGCTCAGTGTGCGTGGTGTGGTGTTTGTTTGTTTGTTGCGTGTGTGCATTTGTGTTTGTTCGTGTTTGCGTGTGCGCGTGCACACACAGGTGCTCGCTAACGGCACTTGCTCCAACAGTCTGTTAAGGCTATACGGGGGATCTTTGTCGTTGTGCAGTGGTGCATCTGCCAGGAGTGCAACGGCTGTGGAGAGCGGTGAGGAAGCGGTAATGTGGGGAGTGGTAGTGTAGTGGTTCAGCGCGCTGCGCTACGAAACCCAGCGACCCGAGTTCGATTTCCGCTCACAGTCGACACCAGTGACGATTATTTGCATCGATCCTGGGCCTTCCCTAGGTCGGCTCAGCTTCAAATCAGTACCTGGCGCAGTGTATAAACATTGCACCAGGTACATTGCCACTCGGAAAACAAAGGCGGGCGGGCGTGGTTCTGGCCACCCACCCCATTGTGTGTCGCGCTGGCCTTGAAAGGTGCTCGCTAACAGCACTTGCCCCACCAGCCTGTTAAAGGCTACACGGGGGATCTTTGTCTTTGCATCTGCCGGGCACCTCAGTCAGTCAACCCACTACACCTGGGCCCGTCCCGTGATCTCCTTGCCAGCAGCGAGCCCTTGACACTCCACGTGGCATCGGAGTGCACTTGGGC